CGTCTTCACCAGCAGGTAACAGGCCTCCTCGAAGTCCTATAAGACACAACATAAGTGAAATATGAAACCCCAACCGCATGTTTGAATGGTTACTACAGGGCCATTAAATCAACTTAACCTTTACTTAAAGTACAGCAGTGTATAAATGTTGTTCCTCACCTGCACCGTGGCTCCAGGACAGAGGATGAACTCATTGGAGAACATGTTTCTCAGGAAGCTGAAACTGTTGAAGACTTCCTCTGGAAAACATAATGTTTAACATGCAGGAGATTCAGCAACCATTTTAAAACCTGTATAATGAGTGATTTTCTTTAGCGTGGAAAAAAAAAAAAGCCCAGCTCATTAGACACGGATATTTGGTTGACTTGAAGTTGTGTCAACAACAATATCTAATACCAACGTCAATTTGATGCCTGGCAACAGACAACATTGATGTTTTGTTGGTTTTAACTTGTTAAGTAAGGTCTTCCAAACGTCTCCGACTGAGGTGCATAAGGTTCTGAAAAGGACTGACCCCCGAAAGCAGCTGGCCCTGACAACATCCCCGCCCGTACCCTGAGGGTCTGCTCTTCAGAGCTGGCTGAGGTCTTTACAGACATTTTCGATCTGTCCCTCTCCCGGTCATCTGTGCCCATTCCCAAGAAAAACAACATAACCTGTCTGAATGACTATCACCCCATAGCACTCACCTCAATTGTAATGAAGTGTTTTGAGAGAACAGTCATGTCACACATTAAACAGGTCTTCCCCAACACAATAGACCCACTGCAATGTGCATATCATCAGAGCCGCTCCACTGACAACACCGTCAATGCAGCCATTCACACAATCCTTTCACACCTCGAACACAAAAACACTTTTGCTAGAATGCTGTTTGTAGATTACAGTTCAGCTTTCAACACAGTCATCCCAGACAGGCTGACTGACAAGCTCTTCACCCTTGGACTGACAACCCCCCTCTGCCACTGGGTCCTTGACTTCCTTACAGACAGACCCCAGGCAATCAGGGTTGGTACCAGGACATCGGGCACAAAGACAGTGAGCACAGGGACCCCCCAAGGCTGCGTGCTGAGCCCACTCCTGTACACCCTGTACACCCTGTTCACCTACGACTGCGCCCCCTCCCAGACCAACACCTCCATCATCAAGCTTGCTGACGACCCAACTGTCATCGGGCTGATCACTGATGGAGACGAGGCAGCCTACAGAGAAGAGGTGGCTCAGCTGGTGTCCTGGTTCCAGGAAAATAATCTCTCCTTAAATGCTGAGAAGACTAAGGAGATGATTATCGACCCAAGGAAGAGCAGAGACCAGCACGTCCCACTACACATCAACGGGACATAGGTGGACAGGGTGAAAACCTTCAAACTCATTGGCACCCACATCAGCGAGGAGCTCACCTGGACTCATTACACACAGCAGATCGTCAAGAAGGCTCAACAGAGACAATTCTTCTTGAGGAAGCTGAGGAACTCTGAACTATCCACCAAACTCCTCCGCGACGTTTACGGATGCACAGTGGGGAGCATTATACTTGCTGTCTTTCTATTTATTTATTTTAGTTTAGTCAGTGTATATTTTAGTGGTGTCAGGGCAACTTGCAAAGTAAGAATTTCATTGCCTGTAACCACTTTACGTTTGCTGTGTACATGACAATAAACCTCTTGAATCTTGAATATTCAGACGTAAGGTATGTTATATCACATAGTACGATGATGTTTGAGGTAGGTAAACTGTGTGTCAGTCTTACGTTTCTGGCTGGAAGCGGCGGTGTGGATGGCCGAGGCCAGCAGAGCCGGTCGGAGAAAGACGTGCAGCGCCTGGTTCCTGTACGAGGCGCAGGAGAGTATGATGACTGCCTGGCTCATCAGCTCCTCTTCTGGGGTGACGGTGCTGCGAGGCTCCCCTGGCGTTGCTGGTCTTTCTGCTTCAGGACAAAGTTTAAAAATCAGAAGTTGCCAAAAATGGTTCTTTTTAACATATCATGTCTTTATTTAGTATTCATAAGCTGTGTAGTATACATATTTAATGAATGAACAACACTGTAATGTCGTTGTACATAGATGTAAGTGTTAAAAGTTTATTTACCCTTAACATCCTGCTTAACCGTTTGGTAGAGAAGACTGTGTGTCACTATATCTTAATGAAAAGTGTGTTGAATTAAATTTCATGTGATTGAGCTATCTCTACCATCTGTAAGTATGGTTTATATTCACTGTTGTTAATACTATAAATTTGTTGTATCATAGAAAGTATTACTGTCATTGCCTCAGGGTTATGTTTACTTCTGTTTGTTCTGCACACAGAAAAAGAATACCACACATTTAAACATAAGTGCTATATCGTAGGCAAACTGGACTTGCTTGTGTTTCTTGAAGACGTTTCGCCTCTCATCCAAGAAACTTCTTCAGTTCATGACTGGTACAGAGTTGCAGGCTTTGTGAGTGTGAACCCTTACAGAGTCGTTGAGATCACGTGAGCTCTTCATAGTCATTAAGGTCATAATGTGAGTCGCTGACCCACCTGGCCATTAGGGTCAGGTGAGACCAGGTGAGAATGGGTGTGAAGTCTTCTGGGAAGGGATCCCAAGACTGCATTGTACAGTAGGTAGGTGATAAGTGGTGTCATAGTCCACCTCCTCTGCTTATCAATGGCTGCTCCAGTTTGATGTAGATGTCTCATTTTACTCCTCTTCCAAACCATCTTTCTTCTCTGACCAAGATGTGCACATTGCTGTCCTCAAAGGAGTGTCCCTTCTTCTGTAGATGTAAGAGGACAGCTGAGTCTTGACCTGACGAGCTGGCTCTCCTGTGCTGTGCCATGCACTTGTGGAGTGTTTCCCCAATGTATAAATCTGTGCATTCCTGGCTGCACTGAACTGGATACACTACATTACTCTGCTTATGTCTGGGTGTTCTGTCCTTGGGGTAGACAAGCTTCTGTCTCAGTATGTTGCTGGGTTTGAAGTGCTTGAAGTGTTTAAAGCCTGCAACTCTGCACCAGTCATTTAGAACTGAAGAAGCTTCTTGGATGAGAGGCAAAATGTCTTCAAGAAACGCAAGCAAGTCCAGTTGCCTATGATATAGCACTTATGATTACCATGATTTGGAAGACTGGGAATCTTCCCCAACAAACATACATTTAAAGTTATTCCATTATACATTTGATGAAAAAAAAAATTAAAATGTGATTATTTTTTACCATTTCTGAGATGTTTTGAAAGAACTGTAATGGTAAATATCTGGAATAAATATGTGGAAATAATATGAGTACTGGTATTACTTCTAATTCCATGGTCAAAGAATTTACATGTTGACTAAAATGTTGGTATACTGACATATTACTAGCATTATAACAACATATGGTTTGTAATGTTGATGTTTTCTTGCTGTTTTACCATTACCATGAAGAGCTATCTCAACAGTTTCGTAGAGGCCTACATTTAAAAAACTATGGGGTTTGTTAAAAAAATAATAAACAGTGATTTATGTTATTATTGCCCAAAGAAAAACATTTTCCATTGTTTTTTTCTTAGTTTGGACATTAAAGGGTTAATGTATTTGTCAACTACTATATCTCCTCTTGTGACCACCCATAATTTAATAATATTATAAAACAGCTGTCATTTTAAAAGATATGAGTTTATGGGTGATGTTAGAATTCTTTTTGACCAGAACCAAGAGACGTGATCACATGGTTCCAGTTTTAGCCTCTTTACACTGGCACCCAGTATGTTATTATGTTATATTTTAAGATTTAACTGATGACTTTTATGGCTTGTCATGGTCTCTCTTCCTGCTCTATCGCCAACCTCCTAGTACCACTTAGCAAACACGGTGTGAAACAATCACGACAGAATATAGCAGAACAGCAGAACCTGGGCTATAAGCCTGTATAAACCTTTTTAACATGCCCCAAATACAACTCAAATAACAACTGAATGAATTACTACATATCAAACTCCATACAGCACAGATGTGTCAACCCTGGCTCTACCTCTATGGCACTTTATGCAAAACACATGGCATACACCTCAAATGAAAGCAGCGACTCCACAGTTTCTGAAGATATATGTCAAAGCATGCGATACCAAAGCATCAGAGATATAGAAGCCAAAGAATAACAACAGAATTTGCTTCGCCAAACGACAGTTGTAAAATTTCTCTTACCTTTGCTGTTTTGCTGTGAAATGTTTATTATACCGGTAAATCCACACTAAATCCTAACTGTAGTAAAACTGTATTCTGATAAGATAAATATTTATTGTCATAGTACAGTCATACTTGTGTACCACAGCACAAGGAAATTGGGATACTGTCCACTTGCAGTATCAACGATAAAAAAACAAGATAAAATAAAAAATATGAAGAGTAGAAAAATATATACAAAATATCTAAAGTGCATGTGAGAAACAGATTATTGTTCATTGCAAATGGCCCATTGTTGAAAAATACATAAATAGACTAATAAGTGACAT